CTCCCTCACCCCCTCCCTCACCCCCCCTCCTCACCCCTCCCTCACCCCCTCCCTCACCCCTCCCCCTCCCCTCTCCCTCACCCCTCCTCACCCCACTCCCTCACCCCCTCCTCCCTCACCCTCCCTCACCCCTCCCTCACCCCTCCCTCCCCCTCCCTCACCCTCCCTTCCTCCCTCACCCCTCCCTCACCCCTCCCTCACCCTCACCCCCCTCCCTCACCCCTCCCTCACCCCCTCCCTCACCCCTCCCCTCCCCTCCCTCACCTCACCCCTCCCTCACCCCTCTCCCTCACCCCACCCTCCCCTCACCCCTCCCTCACCCCTCTCTCACCCCCCCCTCCCTCCTCCTCACCCCTCCCTCACCCCCCCCTCACACCCTCCCTCACCCCTCCCTCACCCCTCCCTCACCCCTCCCTCACCCCTCCCTCACCCCCCCCTCACCCCCCTCACCCCTCCCTCACCCCTCCTCACTCACCCCCTCCCTCACCCCCCTCCTCACCCCCTCCCTCACCCCACCTCACCCCTCCCTCCCCCTCCCTCACCCCCTTCCTCACCCCCCTCCCTCACCCCTCCTCACCCCTCCCTCACCCCCCTCCCTCACCCCTCCCTCACCCCTCCCCACCCCTCCCTCACCCCTCCCTCACCCCTCCCTCACCCCCTTCCCTCACCCCTCCCTCACCCCCCCCTCACCCCCTCCCTCACCCCCACCTCACCCCCTCACCCCTCCCTCACCCCTCCCTCACCCCTCCCTCACCCCCTCCCTCCCCCACCCTCCCCCCCTTCCCTCACCCCCTCCCTCACCCCTCCCTCACCCCTCCCTCACCCCTCCCTCACCCCTCCCTCTTCCCCTCCCTCCTCCCTCCCTCACCCCTCCCTCACCCCTCCCTCACCCCTCCCTCACCCCTCCCTCACCCCTCCCTCACCCCCTCCGCTCCTCACCCCTCCCTCACCCTCCCTCACCCCTCCCTCACCCCTCCCTCACCCCCTCCCTCACCCCCCTCACCCCACCTCCCTCCTCTCCCTCACCCCCCCTCACCCTCCCTCACCCCTCCCTCACCTCCCTCACTCCTCCCTCCCCACCCCTCCCTCACCCCCTCCCTCACCCCCTCCCTCACCCCTCCCTCCCCACCCCTCCCTCACCCCTCCCTCACCCCCACCCTCACCCCTCCCTCCCTCACCCCCCCTCACCCCTCCCTCACCCCCTCCCTCACCCCCCTCCCTCACCCCCCTCACCCCTCCCTCACCCCTCCCTCACCCCCCTCCCTCACCCCCTCCCTCACCCCTCCCTCACCCCTCCCTCACCCCTCCCTCACCCCCTCCCTCACCCCTCCCTCACCCCTCCCTCACCCCTCACCCCTCCCTCACCCCCTCCCTCACCCCCCTCATCCCTCCCTCACCCCTCCCTCACCCCTCCCTCACCCCTCCCTCACCCCCTCCCTCATCCCCCCCACCTCCCTCACCCCTCCCTCACTCCCCCTCCCTCACCCCTCCCTCACCCCCTCCCTCACCCCCCCTCTCACCCCACCCTCACCCCTCCTCACCCCTCCCTCACCCCCTCACTCCCTCCCTCTCCCTCACCCCCTCACCCCTCCCTCACCCCTCCCTCACCCCCCCTCACACCCCTCCCTCACCCCTCCCTCACCCCCTCCCTCACCCCTCCCTCACCCCTCCCTCACCCCTCCCTCACCCCCCCTCCCTCACCCCCTCCCTCACCTCCCTCACTCCTCCCTCACCCCTCCCTCACCCCCTCCTCCCCCCTCCCTCACCCCCTCCCTCACCCCTCCCTCACCCCTCCCTCACCCCCTCCCTCACCCCCTCCCTCACCCCCCTCCCTCACCCCTCCCTCACCCCTCCCTCACCCCTCCCTCACCCCTCCCTCACCCCTCCCTCACCCCTCCCTCACCCCTCCCTCACCCCTCCCTCACCCCTCCCTCACCCCCTCACCCCTCCCTCACCCCTCCCTCACCCCTCCCTCACCCCTCCCTCACCCCTCCCTCCCCTCCCTCACCCTCTCCCACCCCCTCCCTCACCCCTCCCTCACCCCTCCCTCACCCCTCCCTCACCCCTCCCTCACCCCTCCCTCACCCCTCCCTCACCCCTCCCTCACCCCTCCCTCCCTCTCCCCCCTCCCTCCCCCGTCCCTCCCTCACCCCTCACTCCCCCCTCACCCCTCCCTCACCCCTCCCTCCCTCCCTCACCCCACCCTCACCCCTCCCTCACCCCTCCCTCACCCCTCCCTCACCCCTCCCTCACCCCTCCCTCACCCCACCCCCACCCCTCCCTCACCCCTCCCTCACCCCCTCCCTCACCCCTCCCTCACCCCTCCCTCTCCCTCCCTCACCCCTCCCTCACCTCCTCCTCACCCCCCCCCCCCTCCCTCACCCCCCTCCCTCACCCCCTCCCTCACCCCTCCCTCCCCTCTCCCTCACCCCCTCCCTCACCCCTCCCTCACCCCTCCCTCACCCCCCCTCACCCCCTCCCTCACCCCTCCCTCACCCCTCCCTCCCCCCTCCCTCACCCTCCTCCCTCACCCCTCCCTCACCCCACCCTCACCCCTCCCTCACCCCTCCCCTCACCCCTCCCTCACCCCACCCTCATCCCCTCCCTCACCCCTCCCTCACCCCTCCCTCACCCCTCCCTCGCCCCTCCCTCACCCCTCCCTCACCCCTCCCACACCCTTCCCTCACCCCTCCTTCACCCCACCCTCACCCCCTCCCTCACCCCACCCTCACCCCCTCCCTCACCCCACCCTCACCCCTCCCTCACCCCTCCCTCACCCCACCCTCACTCCCTCCCTCACCCCTCCCTCACCCTTCCCTCACCCCTCCCTCCCTCCCCCTCCCTCACCCCTCCCTCACCCCTCCCTCACCCCTCCCTCACCCCACCCTCATCCCTCCCTCACCCCTAACTCACTCCCCCTCCCTCACCCCTCCCTCACCCCTCCCTCACCCCCTCCCTCACCCCTCCCACACCCTTCCCTTACCCCTCCTTCACCCCTCCCTCACCCCTCCCTCACCCCCTCCCTCATCCTCCCTCACACCCTCCCTCACCCCACCCTCACCCCTCCCTCACCCCTCCCTCACCCCCTCCCTCACCCCCTCCCTCACCCCACCCTCACCCCTCCCTCACCCCTCCCTCATCCCTTCCCTCACCCCTCCCTCTCACCCACCCCCTCCCTCACCCCTCCCTCACCCCACCCTCACCCCTTCCCTCACCCCTCCCTCACCCCACCCTCACCCCCCCCCTCACCCCTCCCCCCCACCCTCACCCCTCCCTCACCCCTCCCTCACCCCCCTCCCTCACCCACCCTCACCCCTCCCTCACCCCCTCCCACACCCTTCCCTCACCCCTCCCTCACCCCACCCTCACCCCTCTCTCACCCCACCCTCACCCCTCCCTCACCCCTCCCTCACCCCTCCCTCACCCCCTCCCTCACCCCCTCCCTCCCCCCTCCCCTCACCCCACCCTCACCCTTCCCGCACCCTCCCTCACCCCACCCTCACCCCTCCCTCACCCCTCTCCCTCACCCCTCCCTCACCTTTCCGTCACCCCTCCCTCACCCCTCCTTCACCCCTCCCTCACCCCTCCCTCACCCCTCCTCCTCCCCACCCTCACCCCTCACCCCTCACCTCTCCCTCCCTCCCTCCCCTCCCTCACCCCTCCCTCACCCCACCCTCACCCTTCCCTCACCCTTCCCTCACCCCTCCCTCACCCCCTCCCTCACTCCCCCACCCTCACCCCTCCCTTACCTCTCCCTCACCCCTCCCTCACCTTTCCCTCACCCCTCCTTCACCCCCTCCCTCACCCCTCCCTCACCCCTCCCTCACCCCCTCCCTCACCCCTCCCTCACCTTTCCCTCACCCCTCCCTCACCCCCTCCCTCACCCCTCCCTCACCCCTCCCTCACCCCCTCCCTCACCCCTCCCTCACCCTCCCTCACCCCTCCCTCACCCCTCCCTCACCCCTCCTCACCCTCCCTCACCCCTCCCTCACCCCTCCCTCACCCCCTCCCTCACCCCTCCCTCACCCTCCCTCACCCCTCCCTCACCCTCACCCCTCCCTCACCCCTCCCTCACCTCCCTCCCTCACCCCCCCTCCCTCACCTTTCCCTCACCCCCCTCCCTCACCCCTCCCTCACCCCTCCCTCACCCCTCCCCTCACCCCTCCCTCACCCCTCCCTCACCCCTCCTCTCACCCCTCCCTCACCTTTCCCTCACCCCTCCCTCACCCCTCCCTCACCCCTCCCTCACCCCTCCCTCACCCCTCCCTCACCCCTCCCTCACCCCTCCCTCACCCCTCCCTCACCCCTCCCTCACCCCTCCCTCACCCCTCCCTCACCCCTCCCCTCACCCCTCCCTCACCCCTCCCTCACCCCTCCTCACCCCTCCCTCACCCCCTCCCTCACCCCTCCCTCACCCCCCCACCCCTCACCCCTCCCTCACCCCTCTCCCTCACTCCTCCACCCCTCCCTCACCCCTCCCCTCACCCCTCCCTCACCCCTCCCTCACCCTCCCTCTCCCCACCTCTCACCCCTCCCTCACCCCTCCTCACCCCTCTCTCACCCCTCCCTCACCTTTCCCTCACCCCTCCCTCACCTTTCCCTCACCCCTCCCGCACCCCTCCCTCACCCCTCCCTCACCTCTCCCTCACCCCCCTCCCTCACCCCTCCCTCACCCCTCCCTCACCCTCCCTCACCCCCCTCCCTCACCCCTCCCCCTCTCCCTCACCCCTCCCTCACCCCTCCCTCCACCCCTCCCTCACCCCTCCCTCACCCCTCCCTCACCCCTCCCTCACCCCTCCCCCTCCCCTCCTCTCACCCTCACCCCTCCCTAACCCCTCCCTCACCCCTCCCTCACCCCCTCCCTCACCTTTCCCTCACCCCCACCTCCCTCACCCCCCTCCCTCACCCCTCCCTCACCCTTCCCTCACCCCTCCCTCACCCCCCTCCCTCACCCTCCCTCACCCCTCCCTCGTAACATCAAAGGAACTTTCAATTGGTAATTAAATCAAAGGTAATATTCCGTTCGCCGTTCCTGTTGCCTTTGATCCCGACGCCGTTGTGACGGTTCTGTTCCCAAACCCTGTTGCCCTCTGTTGCCATGGTCCACCTGGCTGGTCCACTGTTGCCCTCTGTTGCCATGGCCCACCTGGCTGGTCCACTGTTGCCCTCTGTTGCCATGGCCCACCTGGCTGGACCAAGGTGGTCCACTGTTGCCCTCGGTTTGCCATGGTCCACCTTGCTGGTCCACTGTTGCCCTCTGTTGCCATGGCCCACCTGGCTGGTCCACTGTTGCCCTCTGTTGCCATGGCCCACCTGGCTGGTCCACTGTTGCCCTCTGTTGCCATGGCCCACCAGGCTGGTCCACTGTTGCCCTCTGTTGCCATGGTCCACCTGGCTGGTCCACTGTTGCCCTCTGTTGCCATGGTCCACCTGGCTGTCCACTGTTGCCCTCTGTTGCCATGGTCCACCTGGCTGGTCCACTGTTGCCCTCTGTTGCCATGGCCCACCTGGCTGGTCCACTGTTGCCCTCTGTTGCCATGGCCCACCAGGCTGGTCCACTGTTGCCCTCTGTTGCCATGGCCCACCTGGCTGGCCCACTGTTGCCCTCTGTTGCCATGGCCCAGCAGGCTGGCCCACCTGGCTGGTCCACTGTTGCCCTCTGTTGCCATGGCCCACCAGGCTGGTCCACTGTTGCCCTCTGTTGCCATGGCCCGCCTGGCTGGTCCACTGTTGCCCTCTGTTGCCATGGCCCACCTGGCTGGTCCACTTTTGCCCTCTGTTGCCATGGCCCACCTGGCTGGTCCACTGTTGCCCTCTGTTGCCATGGCCCAGCAGGCTGGCCCACTGTGGTCCACTGTTGCCCTCTGTTGCCATGGCCCAGCAGGCTGGACCACGGTGGTCCACTGTTGCCCTCTGTTGCCATGGCCCACCTGGCTGGTCCACTGTTGCCCTCTGTTGCCATGGCCCACCTGGCTGGTCCACTTTTGCCCTCTGTTGCCATGGCCCACCTGGCTGGTCCACTGTTGCCCTCTGTTGCCATGGCCCAGCAGGCTGGCCCACTGTGGTCCACTGTTGCCCTCTGTTGCCATGGCCCAGCAGGCTGGTCCACTGTTGCCCTCTGTTGCCATGGCCCACCTGGCTGGTCCACTGTTGCCCTCTGTTGCCATGGCCCAGCAGGCTGGTCCACTGTTGCCCTCTGTTGCCATGGCCCACCTGGCTGGTCCACTGTTGCCCTCTGTTGCCATGGCCCAGCAGGCTGGCCCACTGTGGTCCACTGTTGCCCTCTGTTGCCATGGCCCACCTGGCTGGTCCACTGTTGCCCTCTGTTGCCATGGCCCAGCAGGCTGGCCCACTGTGGTCCACTGTTGCCCTCTGTTGCCATGGCCCACCTGGCTGGTCCACTGTTGCCCTCTGTTGCCATGGCCCAGCAGGCTGGCCCACTGTGGTCCACTGTTGTCCTCTGTTGCCATGGCGCAGCAGGCTGGCCCACGGTGGCCCACTGTTGCCCTCTGTTGCCATGGCGCAGCAGGCTGGCCCACGGTGGCCCACTGTTGCCCTCTGTTGCCATGGCGCAGCAGGCTGGCCCACGGTGGTCCACTGTTGCCCTCTGTTGCCATGGCCCACCTGGCTGGTCCACTGTTGCCCTCTGTTGCCATGGCCCACCTTGCTGGACCACGGTGGTCCACTGTTGCCCCTCTGCCATAGTGGGACCTAAATGACCTATGATAACTCTACATAACATCAATGTAACCTAACCATTGTGCCTGGTTCCTGCCTCACCCACTACCATTTAGGGAAGTAGTGGGGGCTGTATGGTAGCCCGGGTGGAGTCTTGCAACTTGCAATGGTTCTTGCAATAATGGGGGAGGTGGGGGGCAGAGGGGTGTTGTAGGTGAGGGCGAATGGCGTGTTAAGTAGAGAGAATGAGATTAGTGAGGTAATGACAGTCTCTTGTAACACCACCTGACTGGGAATGACTGGGTGAGGAGAGAGAGGGAGGAGAGAGAGAGAGAGAGAGAGAGAGAGAGAGAGAGAGAGAGAGAGAGAGAGAGAGAGAGAGAGAGAGAGAAGAGAGAGAGAGAGATAGAGAGAGAGAGAGAGAGAGAGAGAGAGAGAGAGAGAA